ATCACAAAGATTCTCTTCACACTGCAGTCAGAACTATACTAGCTCCCACCAAATTTAAAAAAGGTTATTTATGTATTATTTTGTTAATCATACTTGACCACTATTTCTTAAATGGTTGTAGCATGGTTTTAATGTGGGTTAGTGTCTAGCATAGACAATACATTGTACTATGTATGCATTGCTAGCTAACATTCCTTTGCTTCCTTCTGTGCTACACAAATGAGGGAAGCAAAGGGGCCTATGACAGGAAATGAAGTTATTCTTCCATACTTTGTTTAACAATGCCCAGTCATACTCCAGTTTAGGTAGAACTTCTTGCCACTAGATCAGTCATAGTAAAGTATTGCAAACATAACTTTCTCTTAATAAATGGGACTTCACTGCAAAACTACAAGGCTATGAATAGTCATGTAGCATGTAAGCACACAGTGGCAACAACAGCTGCTAGTCATTATTTTCTCCTCATCTCTTCAACACCTCTGTGTTTCAGTTTGCTTTATAAGTGATAAGTCACTCTTTTCTCAAGAGTTTTTCTCATACAGGATAGGTATTAAAAGGACCTCTAAACTCTGGGGCAACTAAGGGTCACCAGCAAAGGAACTGAACTTTGTTTTTTTTTATTTGAACTGTGCATCCTCTCTTCAACCTCTCTCTAGATAAGGTGGCTCACCTTGGTAAATTACAAAATAAATTATGCTGTGGCAGTTCATCTCTGCTGTTTTGACAGAGACTCTTTTCTATTTTTCTTCTACAGACAACCTGGTGCCCATCTCTTTATTCTGTTCTAAGGCTTGTGTTGATGATTTTCTCAGAACTTAAGTGTGAGCTACAAAAACTGGTTCTCACTTCAGTCATGCAAAAATGTATTCTACCATCAGACAGTCTTTAGGCATCTGATTTTATGCACTAACTATAGGTTGTTCCATGCTGACAATTTGTAACAGAGAAATAAGAGAATTTGGCTTATGATCACACACTCAGATAACTGCACGGACTGCTTTATGCCCTCATCTTATCCAGTCCCCTGCTTGAGGATACAGGATAGGTATCTATTACAATGTAGTAGGAGCACTTTTTCTAGTTTAGTTTTAAGAACATAAGAACAACCATAGTGGGTCAGACCAAAGGTCCACCTAGTCCAGTATCCTGTCTTCTGACAGTAGCCCATGTCAGGTGCTTCAGAGGGAATGAACAGAACTGGTAATCATCAAGTGATCCATCCCCTTTCCCCCATTCCCAGCATCTGGCAAACGGAGGCTAGGGACACCATCCCTGCCCATTCTGGCTAATAGCCACTGATGGACTTATCCTCCATGAATGTATCTAGTTCTTTTTTGAACCCTCTTATAGTCTTGGCCTTCACAACATCCTCTGGCAAAGAGTTCCACAGGTTGACAGTGCATTCTGTGAAGAAATACTTCCTTTTGTTTATTTGTTTTAAACCTGCTACCTATTAATTTCATTTGGTGACCCCGAGTTCTTGTGTTATGAGAAGAAGTAAATAACACTTCCTTATTTACTTTCTCCACACCAGTCATGATTTTATAGACCTCTATTATATCCCACGCCTCTTTTCCAAACTGAAAAGTCCCAGTCTCACTAATCTCTCCTCATATGGAAGCTGTTCCTTACCCCAATCATATTTGTTGCCTTTTTCTGTACCTTTTCCAATTCGAATACGTGTTTTTTGAGATGGGGCGACCACATCTGCATGCAGTATTCAAGATGTGGGTGTACCATGGATTTATATAGAGGCAATATGATATTTTCTGTCTTGCTGTCTATTCCTTTCCTATTGATTTCCAACATTCTGTTAGCTTTTTTGACTGATGCTGCACATTGAGTGGATATTTTCAGAGAAACATCCGCAATGATCCCAAGATCTCTTTTTTGAGTGCTAACAGCTAATTTAGACCCCATCATTTTATATGTGTAGTTGGGATTATGTTTTCCAATGTGCATTACTTTGCATTAATCAACACTGAATTTCATCTGCCATTTTGTAGCTCCATCACCCAGTTGGATGAAAGAAATCCCTTTGTAGCTCTTCGCAGTCTGCTTTGGACTTAACTATCTTGAGTAGTTTTGTATCATCTGCATATTTTGCCACCTCACAGTTTATCCCTTTTTCCAGATCATTTATGAATATGTTGAATAGGACTGGTCCCAGAACAGACCCCTGGGGACACCACTATTTACCTCTTTCCATTCTGAAAACTGACCATTTATTCCTAACCTTTGTTTCCTATCTTGTAACCAGTTACTGATCTGTGAGAGAACCTTCCCTGTTATCCCAGGACAGCTTACTTTGCTTAAGAGCCTTTAGTGAAAGGCTTTCTGAAAATATAAGTACACTATATCCACCGGATCCCCGTTGTCCACATGCATGTTGACTCCCTCAAAGAATTCTCGTACATTGGTGAGGCATGATTTCCTTTTACAAAAACCACGTTGACTCTTCCACAACAAATCATGTTCAGCTATCTGTCTGATAATTCAGTTCTTTACTATAGTTTCAACCAGTTTGCCTGACACTGAAGTTAGGCTTACTGGCCTGTAATTGCCAGGATTGCCGCTGGAGTCTTTTTTAAAAATTGGTTATGTCACATTAGCTATCCTCCAGTAATTTGGTAGAGAAGCTGATTTAAATGATAGGTTACATATCACAGTTAGTAGTTCTGCAATTTCACATTTGAGTTCCTTTAGAACTCTTGGGTGAATGCCATCTATTTTAATCACTTCAACTTCATCCACTATGGGAGGGGAAAAAATTCAAATAACTACATATGTTGCAGTGTAGCAGAGTTACTATGGGAATCTTACACTTTAAATATTTGACTTCTTATCCTTAGTGAAATTGGGAAATTATAAAGCTAGTGTTATTCAGAAGGCCAGATGATCACAGTGGTCCCTTCTGGCCTTGGAATCTATGTATGATCCATTGTGTCATTTTTTACACTGAGAGCATCTTTTGCTTCAAAATTTGCTACATTCATACCCCTCTTAGAAGCCAATGAACAGCTCCAAGCTACAGATGGTGTACACCTAGTGATCCAATACATGAAGGTGATCTGGGCAGAGCACATCACAAATGTGCAGAGGGTTAAACGCATAGATTCGATAATTATTTCTCTTTCATTGTAAGAGCTTTGCTTTCTTCTCTCACTGGTTAAATAGCAGAAAGATATTAAGTCTTATCCACATTTCTGACTTGGAGCTCTGGAAAAAAAAGTTACAGACCTAACAAACATTGACTAATTTGACTACACTTACCACAGAGCTAACAATATGGACATTTTACATATGCTGCTGTGAATTAAATAGTGTGAACTGCATTGTGCCCATGGTACGGTGGAAAATGCATAAGGAAATTTCTATCCACATCTGCCCCTGGGCAGAACATTGCTTGTAACTAGCACCAGAAAGCCAATAGTTTCCCCCAAAGGGTGCAGACATGCCTCTGGGTTGTGTCACTGAGTATATTTCATTATTTTGGGGGCTGTGTGCTCCAGTCAGCTGGGCTGACCCAATATAGAAAGGAATGCATGCTACACCCTTTCAGAGGGTGGCAAAGCTGCTGTTGAAGCATGTATCCCAGACCCACGAGGAACTGTGAGTTCCTGCTGTTTGAATCCCCAAAAAGTGTTGTTATTTACTGGCTCTTCTGTTATGCTCATTGGTTGCAGCATCAGAACACGTAACACACAGACACAATATTGAATGCACCCTCACAACACCCTGTGAAGCAGGGAAATGATGTGGATTGTAGTTTAAAAGTCTGGCCATTTAGTACCACGTGCTGTTATTGCACAGCATACATTTTCAAAGGTATTTGTAGCTGTGCATTGGAATAAAGCATCATTGCCATATGAAAGAGAATGAATCAATAATCTGGATGCATGCAGTGCCTTGGGGATGGTGGTTGGGCAGGATATATCCTATAATTTAAGAAACTCCCATAAATTAAAAGAATTGTTGATATCCAATGGGAGAATATATAAAGTGCAAAATATTTTCTTTCCCTTGGTTAAGAAGGTAAATATTCACTAATAATAGGTGACGTGCAGTAGGATTGTACCACAATGCAAAGCCATTCCCACTGGACATTTCACTTTCTCCACCATCACTATGTGAAGTTCCTTTGTCTGCCTCTCAGCACTGTGTACTGCCCATGAAATGGTCAAAATGCAATTTTAAAAAGTTTATTTTTTACAAAGCTATACTGTGGCTAGATAAGATTGCATGCTGGAAGTTTGCATGTGAGAGCTGCTTTGAAAGGGATAGCTGTTAATAAAAATAAATTAATACATAAAGTAAATCAAATCATGAGGGTTGAAATATTTTATATATCAGAGACTTGTAGAAGAGATAGCATTTGATATAATTTCTAAGTATGTTTTGTTATTAAGGGAATAAATAAATACAATTTTAAAGGCCTCATTTTTCATTTTATGTTCCTTTATTTCTGCTGGGGCAGCATGGATTAGATCCTGAGCAGTAAGTAAAGCTCCTAGTCAAGCAGACAAGTATTTTTGCCCCAGAAGTGGTGGGTATTTTATTCCCCTCAGTGTTAGCAGCTAGGATAGTGCTTCAGTGCCTGCCAGCACCAACCCTTATTGCAAAAAGTTCACGAAACTGGGAGAGTCACTTAGTCTTTCCCACACTCGCCATTTCACAGCCCAGAAGCGTGGGGTTTTTTTCATGACAGCAGTCGTGTCTGTTCAAGTGTGATTAACACTGACTTGCCAAATCTCTCCCTGGGCCATTTGGGACTTGCACGCGTCCACGCTCCTTGTTTACCCTGATGTGCCTTCACGCGTAGCCTTTTTGTTTATCTGACTAACAAATGAAAGGGAGGGGGTGGACTCCTAAATAGTCATTAGGCGAGGACTATAAAAGCCCCTCAGCCTCGGGCTAGCGGGAGAACTGATCTACTTTAGGATCATCATCGGCAGAGCAGTACCACTCCCTCGTCGGATCTCGTGCTGTAGCGACGGAGCATGGAGAGCGGACACATCTGCTGCCGCCCTTCACTTCAGGGGTTTAGCTCCCGCAGATGTTCCAAAGGACAACACGGGTATCCGCACTTCCTCCAGCTCAGCGCACCCACGGCGCCTTCCTTCCAGCAGATCAACTGCACTAGTGATCAGAGCCTGGTTTCCCCATGCCTCTTCCACCCATCGCGCTGTGGAAACTGAGCAGCCAGTCTGGGGTTAGGTGAGTGTTCATCTCTATTTAACAGGCTGTTTCCTTGATTCTGCAGGGCCGGGGAATTCTGGAGGCCTTGGATCCCCACCCAAAGAGATGCAGAGAGACAGCTGAGAAGAAATCAAAGTGTGGTAAGTGTCTCAGATCTGCCAATAATTCTGTCCTGGCAGGGAGATGGAGAGGACCAAGCAGGTTTTCTTCTATCTGACACGTTCAGGGTACCGTGCAAGTCTGACTTAAAAAAAAAAAAAACCCAAAGCAACAAACTATCAATCTCCCAAACAAGGTCTGTTTGGGAAATAATCTGTGCAGCAGTAGTGAAGGGCATTTCTGAGGTTAAATGGCAATGTGTAGTTTAATAAACCGAGAATATTGAATACTGCAGTAAATTAACCTGTACTGTTTGCCCGGTTATATTTAACACCTGTGGAGTAAATTTTGTCTCCTCTCTTTTAATTCCTAGCTGTATAGTCCATATGGGATGACAGAAGCCTCAGGAAAACTTACCCAATATACACATCCAGTTAGGTAAGTTGCTATTCAAGGAATAACATCTCTATTAATCCTCTGATAATTAGTTTTACAGCTGTCATGATTCTGAAGCAGACTTTATGGGCTTTAGTCTCCACCCATATCACCAAATGTATTTGTGGTTGTATGTACATTAGATGGTCCGAAACCAGTTGAGCAAAGAGTACAGTAACCTTTTCCAGAAATGTGTTGTGCATTATAGCCCCTGTCCAGCAAAGCACTTAAGTACCTGCTTACTTTTAAACAGTGTGAGTAGTCCTATTGATATCAATGAAAGTACTCACATGTTTAAAGGTATGCAGGTGCTTAAGTGCTTTGCTGGATTGTGGCCTAACAAAATAAATGTTAAAAACTATCATAGTAATGATAACTTGCATTTATAAAGCTGCTTTTATTCCAGAGGATCCAAATGCATTTTACACTTTTCAAACAGAACTCTCCTCACCCATCCCCGAGGTGGAACTTGACAGCTGTTTGATAGCACACACCACTAACAGCTCAGGTCAGGAAGTAAAGATTACTATAGCTGAAGCTGTAGGGGATCTATCTGTTGCATGTAATGAGAGCTAGTCATTATGGTATCCAGGTGATTTAGGAAGGTGGAATGTAATTACACAAATTAGTATTTTAGGTAGGACACAAAGTGCTCACAAATTTAGGCCCCGATTCTGTACGCACTTGAGTAATTGTATTGACCTTGGTGGGACTACTTACATGCAAGCATGTGTGAGAGTCTCTGCAGGATTGTGGCTTTACACGCTAAAAGTGAACAGGAAATGTGATACTGACTATTTGAGTGAAAAAGATATGTTGTTCAGAAGAAAGATGTAGCCTAGTATAATTTGTTATTTACAACTGACTTAGAAAGTATTTTTGAATAAGTAAATAAACCTCCTCTTATATCTTTAATTTGTTTCTGTTATGGATGATATGTAACCAGTGTTCATGAATCATTGCACAGGGAAATATATTAAATGGTGCTGGTGACAAAGTGGTTAGTGTCCATTTATCTTTGGAAACTTGTGTCTCATTTCTTTGCTTTTTAAATTCACCTCCCATTTTTGCTTGCAATTTGTTGTTGTGATTAGTTGATATGATTTACACTATTAGTTGGATGTCCCTGCCAATAAGGTAGAAAAAAGTCTAATTGTCATCACTGGTGTTTATAATCTGTGGGCACAATATGGGAGATCAGTTTGAAAAACTAGATGCACCAGATACGAGTTGCATGTAGTCCACAAGTGGGAAGAAAATATAGGTTTTAGTTTCATCCTGAGAAATTACTCTTGCTCTGAATGCTTTCTTTCAATCTCAGGATTCAGGTTAGTTTTTGATGCTACATTTTGTATGGTAGTATATTTGAGGCTTCTACTGGATCTGTATTTTTGACAGGTATTTTGAAATTTAAAATTTATCAGATATTCAGATAAAAGAGAAACCTTTTCTAGTGCTGACTCAGCAAATGATTCTTGTGTAGGTTGGGGGGGAAGAGTTGGTGTCTGTTAGAAACACAGAAGACTTTCCTGGCCCCGGAGGCTGACCGACAAACACAAAGGATAATATCTAACAATAATAGATTGTATATTTGTTTCAGACTATTTTGGCCCAAGTCAAGGTGCTATGATTACTTATATCGAGAAGCTGAAGCACTTCTGAAAAACTTCCCAGTTCAAGCCACAATTTCCTTCTATGAAGACTCAGATAGTGAAGATGACAATGTTGAACTGGAGCAAGATTCGGGAATAGAATCAGATTGCTAACTATATGGAGTGCTAATACCACCTCTAAAACTTTCTAATTTAAACTTGATGTAAAAATGTATCATAGTATTTTTAAAGATAATTTATTTGAATGTAAGTTATTGGTAATAAAAAAAATTGAAATATTTTGTACATGTTATAGTACATTTGTCTGTCTTTTCTAGTCTAAGGATTGTTTTTGCTTTTAGGGGAGAAAAGGTACACATTTGAATTTCTTAAAACAGCTGAATAATTTATTCTCATGAAGCCTGACACATTTAATATATTAGAGTTAAAAAAAAAAAAAATTCTAGCTCCTGGACTTTGTAGTCCATAACTGACACATTCCCAGATTGCAATTTTGAAACAAGTTGCCTGATTATTCCTTCCTTTACACCAGTTTTATGATGATGTGACTCTATTGACTTCACTAGAGTAAAAATGGTGCAACTGTGTGGAAAAACAGGCCCAGTAGAGTGGCTACGTAATGAAAGTTTTCTTTATAGTTTAGGTGAAGCAGTTCAAGTAATTAATCTGGAACAAATATTCTTAGCCCTGGTCTACACTGGAGGTGGGGTGGGGGCGGGATCGATCCACATTATGCAACTTCAGCTATATGAATAACGTAGCTGAAGTTGACATACTTAGATTGACTTATGGTGGTGACTTCACCGCGGTGAGTCGACTGCTGCCGCTCCCCTGCGGCGCTGGAGTACAGGAGTTGATGGGAGAGAGCTTGGGGGTCGATTTATCGTGTCTAGACTAGATGCGATAAATCGATCCCCATTGGATCGATTGCTGCCCACCGATCTGGTGGGTAGAATAGACATAACCTATGAGCAGGGGGTTGGACTAGATGACCTCCTGAGGTCCCTTCCAACCCTGATATTCTATGAACCTTAGATCATACACTCACTGATGAAATTAAGTGCCAGTGGCGGCTCTATGTATTTTGCCGCCCCAAGCATGGCAGTCAGGCAGCCTTTGGTGGCATACCTGCAGGAGGTCTGCCGGTCCCGCACCTTCGGCGTACCTGCCACCGAAACCGCGGGAACGGCGGACCTCCTGCAGGCATGTAGCCGAAAGCCGCCTGCCTGCCGCCCTCAGGGCGAGCGGCAGGCCACCCCCCGCGGCTTGCTGCCCCAGGCACGTGCCTGGAGCCGCCCCTGTGAAGTGCATACATGTGCATGGAAACAGTTTAAAAAAAAAAAAAAAGACAAACAACATAACTTTTTCAGTGTAAACATAGGGAACCAAATTCTGCTCTCAGTCACACCCGTGAAACTGGAGACAGAATTTAGGCTTGCAAACTGAATCATGCTCTCAGATACATGGGCTTATATTGCTGGATATATAAAAATAGTTACCGATCATGCATGTAAACCAGACAACAGCACGAAGTAAGGAGCAAAATTGTGCTCTTACTGACTAATGGGGTTTCACTGCTACACCTACAAGTAGAATTTGGCCTGACATACAGTAATACATGCCTGCAAATGTGAAGACAGCTATAAATTAATATAATTTATAAATTATAAATATATAATTTATAGCCGAATAACCATTTGGGGTCCAAGTCTGCCACCCGCACTCATGAGTAGTTCTGTGCTCAGTCAGTATTCCCCCTGAAATTACTCACAGAGTAAGGTACAACACAGTGCAATGATAGCAGAATTAGACACTTGATTAAATTTTTTTTTTTTTTTTTCACAACTGGTCCATTCTCTCCATTTCAAAACCTTCAATGTGTGACCTGGCTGCATTTGCCTGAATTTGCAAGAGAACCTGAAACAATAAATATGAGATCTGAACTACTCGGTTGATTTCAGTGTGTGCTAATTCTGATGTCAACGATGATACTTCATACCTCAACATTAACAACTGTACTGTTCATCTAAGCATGTAAGAAAGGAGTATTCTATAAGGCAAGATTGCATAGTTCTTCCTTACTGACCGCTCATTTTTGTGCTGAAGTTGGGTGTGATTGGTTTAATTTTCTTTCAAGAGTTTGGGAAACTGTCAAGCCTATTAGCAGACACCCTGTTCTTTCTATGTTTTATACTGTACCTCAAGGTCACTTGAAAAGTTACAATGCCTAATTGTGGACCTTAAATTTGATTCGAGGCAGAATGTCTTTGCATCATGCTCAGGTTTTCTCTCTCCTCCAGATCAATGCAAATAGCTCTTTTCTTCTACCTCTTAAGGGTATACAAGCTTAGCTTTCTTATGACATCTCACTCGTGATAATATTTTAATAATAACAATATTGTACACTTATAGGGCACTTCCAATCTGAGGATTTCAAGCACTTTACAAACAGTAATGCATTAAACTTCAAAATACTCTTTGGAGACCATATCCATGGCCCATTCCAGGGAGGGGTGGGAGGTCTTGGCCACTTTTAGCCGATTCCGGGGGCTGTTTTAGAAGAGCCAGGGGTGGGGCCATCTGAGTCAGTGGTGTCCCGACAAAAAGGTAACCCGCGGAACGGCGCACCAAGCAGGGCCGGCTCCAGGCACCAGCCGACCAAGCATGTGCTTGGGGCAGCACCTGGTAAGGGGCGGCCAATCTTGGGGGTGGCGGGGAGGGGCACTCAGGGTTTTTCTTTTTTTTGGATTCGGTCGGGCGGCGCGGGGGGGGGGGGGGGTTGTTTTTGTTTTGGCGGCTGGGGGTGCTGGGGGGGGGATTCGGCAACGGCGCTCCGCGGGGGTGTGTGTGGCGGCGTGGCGGGGTGCTCCGCGGGGTGTGTGTGTGTGTTCGGCAGCGCGGCTCAGTGGTGGGGGTGTTTGGCAGCGCGGCGCTCGGCGGGCGGGTTCGGCAGCGGGGCTCGGCGGTGGGGGTGTTTGGCGGCGCGGCGCTCGG